TCTGGGTTAAGATGGTAAAAAAAACTGGTGATGCTTCATCCACTTTTATTCTCCCACTGAATAATTCATGATGGACTGGAGAATCTCAATGATTGGTTCACCATACTCTGGCAGAAATTCCTACTGACTGCCATACCTTGAGTAAGAAATTCTTGGTAACCAATGCAGACTCAGACCTCTTGAAAAACGAAAAGCAGGCCAAGCTGGATAAAAGCCAAAATTACTGTTTGCCAAATTACACTGTTGGGTTTCGTGGAACAGCTAGGACTCTCATATACCTAAAGATAGTGAAAAGATGTATAGAGGTTACTGAGGTTGGAAATATATGTTGAGTTTAACACTGTAATTGACAGTGGCCTTTCAATGAAGATTTAAGGAATTTGGAATCTATTCTGCAGGCAGAAGGGAAAGTATTGATGATTTTGAGCAGTGACAATAGGATCAGATGCATGTTTTAAAAGATCTAGAAGTGTAAAGAGTATATGTATATTAGGGCTGGAGTAGCTGGAGGCTGGGAGACAAACTTATTGCAAGGCTCCACATAAAATCATATGGACCTCAGTGAATCCTATCCTCAGGTAAATACTAATAATTAAAAGGGCTTCACCATTTGTAGAGCTTTCAGATGATTTATCCTTAATATTATTATCCTCACATCTGCTGATGAGCAAGCCTCTCAGGATCTTCTGCTCCAGTCTTGTGATGGTAGCATGTTCCTGCCTCTGGTGGTACTAAACCCTGGGCAATCATCTCTGCTAGGAACAGCTGTTCGTGGTGACTGCTGTGAAACCAACAGGATGGCCTCTTTTCTATTTAGTCCTAAGAGTGGGCATAAGGTAAGCATTTGTAAGATTTTACTGAAATTTCTGGAGTATAAAAAGGAAAATGCTACACTGAATATAATTACAACTATTCAGGCACAGGCCCACCCCAGAGTCTCTTACCAAGTTAACTCTCCTGTTTGTCTTTCTTTTCTGCCTTCACGTGGCTTCAGACAGCTCACCTTCCAACCACTGGAAGTGTTTACAGCATCTCCACATCTCTCCACAAGGTGGAGTTCAAGGCCAAATTTTTCACTAGCCCCAGATACTGGAAGGAGTATTTTTTTCTTCATTTGTATTCAATGTAAGGCCTGCCTCCTAGGTCTTTATTTCCTATTCACACATTAAATCTGACAGTGGCAATGTATTCCCTGTGGAGGAAATTCTGTCTAGGCCTAAAGCAGTGTGGCCTAGCTTTATGGTTTAATAAAGACAATCACACAATATCCAATATATTTCCTACATCACATGTAGGCCATTAACAGTCTGATCAAGACTGGGCTATGTCAAATCGAACACAGCTTCTAGACATCAAGCGATTATAAACTCTGGAGGTTCAGTCTCACTCATAGCACCTGCCTTAGCCTGTTTGCTGTTGCTTATAACAAAATACCTGAAAATTTATTTTTTTTTTTAAAATAATTTCCTACAGCTCTGGAGTCTGGGAAGTTGAAGATTGAGGGGTCACATCTGGTGAGGGCCTTTTTGATGGTAGAAACTCTGCAGTCCTGAGGTAGCGCAGGGTATCACATGGAAGGGGGCTAAGTATGCTAACATGGTAGCTTAGGTCTCTCTTTCGCTTCTTATAAAGCCACCATTTCTACTTCCATGATAACCCATCAACAGATTAATCCATTCACAAGGCCAGAACCCTCTGATTCAATCACCGTACCTCTGAAAGGCCATACCTATGAATACTACCACATAGGAGATCAAGTTTCAACATAAGTTTTGGAGGAAATATTCAAACCATAGCAGTTTCTGTGTATTTGTGTGCATGCATGCACACATGTGTGTAGAGACACAGAGAGAGGACTAGAGAGGCAGAGATACCTATACATATGTACACCTGTACATTAAATGAAATTATGTACACATATACAACGTTATAAAAATGGAACCATAGTATATATCCTCCTTTATAAATTTCTCCACTTAATAGAATGTTAACATGTTTGTAGGTTCTTTTATGCAGAGTTACTTCTTTTATAGTATTCCATTGTGTGAATAATGCATAATTTATTCAGCAAATCCTTGTTGATACATATTGGGACAACTTTCAAAATTTGGTTATTATGAACAATGCAACCAAGAACATTGTCATACATGTATTGTTATACCCAAGAGAGTTAGAAAGGAAGTGCCATACTCTGAGTTCCAATTGAGAGTCCTTTATTACCGGTGACCGAGAGTCAGCTACTGCTCAAAATCTCTCCTTCCCTTCTGATTTCCTTTTATACCTAACCTAGAAGAGAGGGGAGAGGGAGTCTAGCTGAAGTGGAATTTTACAGAAGCAGAACAAGCAAGTTAGTAGGAGGAAGCTGGTAACCAGGAGGCAGGAGGTTCCCATAGTTGCTGGTTACTAAGAGTATTTCCATACAATCATCAAGGAGGGTTGCAGGGGAGACTTTCCATACAATCAATCACCAAGGGGGGGAGTTTCACAATAGCAGGCAGACTTGCCAAGCAGGATATGGTTATAGCAGTTACAGGTACTGAGAACAGGTGACCCCAACCTCAGCTGTTCAAGGCTCTGAAGTAGACCCAGGAATGAACCTGAGGGGGCCATGGCAGGGAGGGCGAAGCTAAGCTGGAGCTTGTCAGGCTTATTTCTAAGGTGAAGTCAGGTTACTTCATTTCAATATATTGTGTACTTATACATGAATTTTAATAGGATGAGCTGTTAATATAAATATTTATTTCTTATCTTTCCAGGTAAAATATTGTTGGGTACCTCCTTTGGAGTTCTAGACTCAGGATGAGATTACAGAAGATATGCTCAACATCCTCCTTTGACCTGGTCCCAGTTTCACTATATTTGATAGATGCTTTACAGTCTCTGGTAAGGAGGTGTGCAATTCTCTGATTTTATTATAGTTTTTAGGGAATTTTATTTTATACATTTCAACCAAAAAAATTACATAAATAACAGCTCGACTGAAAGCTGTATTTTAAATGAACAAATATTGGTACTTTGTGAACACATGTGGTGCTTTTTTTTCTCTAATTATTGGCTATCAATCTTATTTTACTAAATATATACTGACAAATTTATTTTGGTCCATTTATTTGAGTTCAAAGACTATTTCATACTCTTCCCAGTGAAACAGTCATGGGCCATTGCTATCTTCAAAAGAACTAAATATATAAGTAGCAGCTCTCCTCAAAAAAGATGACAAAGTCTTCTTTTCCCTTTAGAACATAAATTTCAGTGGCTGGTAAAACTATTTTAGCAACAATATGCTCACTTCTTCTATGATATGTTTTTCTTCTCTACTAAGTTCAAAGTTTCTCTCAGTAACCATAGCAACTCAAAATTGTTTCTCTACCTTACTGAAGTTGCCCTCTTCCACTGATCATTAGGACATTAACTTTTAGAATCATTTGTTTTTGCCTCTTGTTTTGAAGGCAGCTTTTTAATTTCCTCAAATAATTGCAATGGAACAAAAAATTGTTCTCTTTTTTACATATGTGCACTTTTATAAGAGATGTAATGTTTGTAAATAAAAGTTTTAATTTATCAAAAGCATGTCTCTAACAATGTGAGGGTTATAAAGATTAATAATAGTAGAAATATCTGTGTACCAGCCACTCAGAATCATTCTAGTTAGATATAGTTATTGTAAGGACAAAAAAGAAAATGGATCTAAAAAGGTAAATAAGTGAGATCATTGCATAGTTCTTTACAGTTTAACAAGAGTTGTTTAGATAGGACCTGCTCCACACTTATTTGATTCTCCGTTTTCCCCTGAATTTCCTTTCCAAACAATGTACAGTGTTTCCAATATCTATCAAAATTTCATAAAAGCTATGATTCCCAACTTATACAAACTGTCCATCAAGATGTTTTCTCCCAAACATCGCATTCTTGAACCAAGCCATTAAAGACTTGGACTGTGACACAGTTTTCATTCTGAGGACCATACACATCTGTGTAATTACCATCACTCCCATTTTCTACCCTATACAGGGAATCCCTATGGCCTTAGGCTTACACACACAACTGGGAGCTATAAGGACCAGAAAAAGTAAAAAGTGATCCATTCTGTAAAGACCCTTCATTGCCTACCAAAGAAGAAACAATTCCACAGGAAATGGCTTAGACAGAGTCATCCCAAACCCAAGCCACCTCTACTGGCTGGAAATCATCTGTGGAGTGCCAACCCACACTAACCAGCCAGGCATACCCAGCACTTTCACTCTCATAAAAGACTAAACTACTGTAAACCCAAAATAAAATTATGAACCCCCCACCTCCACAAACCATCTGAATGGACATCTTCCTCTGCCAGGGCACTGTAAAATTTAACCTGAAAGACTGGTTCAGGATATGACAGAAAGTTGGGGGGGGTGGTGGTCAGACCTGCCTCATTATGTCCTCCAACATTAACATGAGCACAGACCTTAAATGTGATAAGAAACATAATGTATTCTCTCTGAAGCCTTCTACCTGGAGGCCCCATCAGGATGATGAAACTTTGGTGTCTACAACCTCGTACTATAATCCAGACATTGCATTTTATTGATAATAACTCTTTCAACCAGTTGTCAATCAGAAAATTTTTAAATCTGCCTATAAATTGGAAGTGCCCCCCCTTCCAGTTGTCCCGTCTTTCTGGACCGAATCATTATGTTCTCAGGATATCCTGAGGGCTGTGTCACAGGCCATAGTCACTCATATTTATCTCAGAATAAATCTTTTCAAATATTTTACAGAGGTTGACTGTTTCTCCACACTATGCCCCTATCCTCTGTCCCCAGTCACCACAAAAACACCACCCCCAGCTCCACTTACACCCTTATCCCTCACCCATCCACTGAACAAACCCCACCCACACCTTCACACACCATTCCACTCTCATCTCCCAAACTCAAGAACAAACCAATCAACCCCCACACCCACCCGCTGCACACATTGCAGCTCAGCTAACAGACGGTGTCTCTCTGAGGGTCCTATCAGCCAGCCTTTTTCCCTACCTGGGGGATTTGCCACACAATAGAGCCCAGTATACAAGTTGAAAGCCAATTTCTCCTGGGCCAGTACCAGCCTGAAAAAAGGGAGGGGCCAGCCTAAGGGCCTCATCTGCTAGGGAAGGTTCCCAGCTATTCCCACTTGGAAAGAAGCTGGGAGAGATCAAAATTCGAGCTGATTTGTTAGTTCTCACTCTTCTGCCCCTATCCCTACCTCCGCCCTGTTGCTTTGTAGGGCAAGTTTTTGTTTGTTTTCCTTGTCAGCTGCCTAGAAACCCTGCCTGCTGCCTAGACAGAAAAGTTTATCAAGACAGGGGAAATGCAATGGAGAAAGAGTAATTCACACAGAAAGGCTGTGTGGAACACTGGAGTTTTATTATTACTCAAATCAGTCTCTCCAAGCCTTCCCTAGGATCAGAGCTTTTAAGGATAATTTGGTGGGGAGTGCTGATTGGTCGGATTGGAAATGAACTCATAGGGGGTCAAAGTGAGTTTCTCTTGATGCCTTCTATTCCTGAGTGATCACAGATCTGGTTGAGCCAGATTACCGGTCTGGGTGGGGTCAGTTGGTGCCTAGAGTGCAGGGTCTAGAAAATATCTCAAACACTGATGTTAGGCTTTGCAATAGTGATGTTATTCCAAGAAGAAATTTGGGGAGGCTCACACTCTTGCATCCAGAGACTTCATGGCCCCAAGCCATAATTTCTAATCTTATAGCTGATTTGTTAGTCCTACAAAGGCAGACTCAGACTGGTCCCCAGGCGAGAAGGGGTGATTTGTTTTGTTTTGCTTTCTCCTTTGGGAAAGGGCAATTAATGGTTTTTAAAAGTTAAACTATAAACTAAATTCCTTCCCAAGGTTCGTTTGGCCTATGCCCAGGAATGAACAAGGACAGCTTATAGGTTAGAAGCAAGATGGAGTGAGAGTGAGTTAGGTCTGATCTCTTTAAATGTCATAATTTCCTCAGTTACAATTTTTGCAAAGGTGGCTTCAGCCTTGTTGAGACAAAGCCTGTGATTGTTTTCAAGGTTACCTGACTTACATGGCATTTTTAAACTGACCTAGGCCTGCTTTTCTCTTTCTTCTCTTGTCCTAGTAGTTGTATAGGACCAGACTGTGATAACTTGCATTTGCTTTTGTCTTTATCCATTGTCCTGTCTGCTTTTGTGATTAGGATATAATAGTTAGAAGTGTTCCTTCACATTTCTCCAATTGGCTCTGCTGACTTTTCATATAAAATCAGTATTTGCTCTGCCAGTGCATCTGAAAAATCCATCCGTATATTCATGTATCCATTGTGGTGGCACCGTCCGAAAAAGCTTTGACTATTAATATATTGGTATGATACTAATAATTGGCGGTGTCATAAAATGGAAGAAAAGAGAAAAAGCAATGTGTGAATTCAAATTTTCTAGGTGAGACTGCACCTCAGAAGGTCTCTGACCTATAGGACACTCTTAAAATGCTTCCCTCTTGAATAAAAAAAACACTTTTTCAGCCTGGCAACTAAAAGCCTTCACCACCTGGGTCCTTTTCCTTTTCCACCTCTTCTATTTATTACTTCTGCAGCATTTACTACAGTTTCCTGCTCGTTTTGCTTCAGGCCACGCCCCTCAACATACCAAGTGTTTCAGGTCTTCCTTTTGTATTTATAGTTTCTCCTACCTGGAATTCACTTTCACCATCTGCTGGGTAAAATCATGCTGATTATTCTAAACTTTCATAACTTCTCTCTGGAGCCTTTCCTTGAAGCTGTACTTAGATAAGTTATCCCCCTTTTTTCATTCACCTACCCTCTGAGAACCCCACATATCTGAGACAGGTCTCAGTTAATTTAGAAAGTTTATTTTGCCAAGGTTGAGGACTTGTGCCCATGACACAGCCTCAGGAGGTCCTTAAGACATGTGCCCAAGGTGGTCAGAACAAAGTTTGGTTGTATACATTTTAGGGAGACATGAGACATTGATCGACATATTTAAGATGAACTTTGGTTTGGTCTGAAAAGGCAGCATAACTAGAAGCAGTGGCAGGATGAATTGAAGTAGGGAGGGGACTTCCAGGTG